ATACCAATATCAACATTTAACATCTAGTGTATTTCCTCACTGAGGTCTGCTGAATAGAAACACACACACACACACACACACACACACACACACACACACACTCTCTCTCTCTTAAACTGAGATAACAGCACAGACACCATTTTGAAATTTCCTTCTGTGTTACAAGCACAACCTTGAGTCACTGCATCATCTTTTAAAATATGATTCTTAACCACAGACTTGAGCAGGATGTGATGAGTGGGGCACCCAGATGCCCTACTTACTCTCCTTAGTCCTACACCTGTTCTTAACAAACCCATAATATGAGTGTACAGGATGGGGCCCATGGATTAACAGCATGAAAATTACCTGTGAATCTGATAGAAGTTCACAACCTTGGGCTCCACCACAGATCTAATGAACCAAAATTCACAGTTTAACAAGATATCCAGGTGACTCATACATAATGTTCAAAAAATAGTATCCTCGTTTACTTAACCATTTCTGCTACTACTGAGCGTCTGTGTTGTTCCCAATTACTTTGCTATTTTAAGCTGTTACCAATGTATAGAACTTCCCTGTAAAAGCGTCTTTGTATTCTTGAGTAATTATTTCATTGAGGGGAAGCACAAAAGTGGGAACCCTAAATCACCAGACTATCTTTTAAACTTGTATCTCCTAACCTGTTATGCTCTGAGAAACTAGGCCTTTTAGAATTATAAATGTAAGAATTCAGAGGGGCTGTGGGTGTAGCTCAGCAGCACAGCACCTCCTTGGCAAGCGCAAGGTCATGAGTTCGATTCCCAGTACGCCCCCCAAAAAAAGTTTGAAAAAAAAGAATTCAATGATAGATATGGCTAACCAAAATTACTCACATCTTGAAGTTGTGCACATATCACATTTCTGCATTTTCTAAGAGAAGAAAAGGGAATGGGGTGCCTTGGCCCCTAATGAAACATTCAAAACATGGTCATTACTCCTCAAATTGCTTCTGATATCAGAAAACAGATGAGCTAAATTTCTCATGTCTAGCAAACTCTAACTAAAGGCTGTTTTCAAGTAGAATGTCCTTTTGTTGTGGGACTCCATGAACCTTCATTTAATAACCAAAATTAATGTGGGAATTTGTGTATGCATTATTTATTTCAGACCAAAAATAGTAATTTTTTTAAATGAGAAAAAAGGAAAATAAAATAAATACCTCAGATGAAGATGTAGCCAATCTGACTGGAAATCAACCTTAACAGCGGTGTTTCTTTTTCTCAACTACTACAAGGTGTCACCTAGAGGTGCTATGTATTTTAATGCAGAAAATTTGCCAGTACAAATATAAGAGGAAGAATTTGAAGAGGACTCTGAAAAGAAATGGGATTCCAAAAACAGATACAATGTTAGACTTGGTAAGACCCAAGATACACCAGACCCTGGGGTCAATCCCAGTGCTGGCTGTGTCCAAATGGTGACGGATCGTCCCCTTGCAGGGGTGCTGTGAAGGACAAACGTGCTGAGCCGAGGGTGAGAGTTCCTTTATAAGCTCTTCCCAAGTCTGACATTATATACATTTTTTACATCTTTTTCAGAAGCTGTTCTCACCTCCTGAGTAGCTGAGTACAAGCCTACGCCAGGATGCCTGGCTAGAACTGTCTTATGAAGCAGTTCGGTTTGTTTTCATGCAGACAGAACTGTTGCCAAGTTATTCATTACACTGCTCATTAAACTGTGGGTAGAAATCTCATCCTGTAACCTTTTGCTTTTGGTTCTAGCTATGCCATTCTGTATCTCTAAATCTTCACCCCTTCTTATACTTGAATTACAAAACTTGGCATGTTAAGGCCACACAATTTCTAGTGGGACCTCTACTATTACATGTACTAGAGAACTCTAAATGTATACTCTTCTTGTAAATTTACCTCCACTGCTACCAGGCTAAAAAAGGCTGAACTGGTTGGAGTGAGGGTACGGGGTAGGAAAGGGGAAAAGGACTGAAATTAGCTCATTACAAATGGACTTGAAGTACTTAAAGAACAGCAAGAAGGCAAGTGAGGTTAGAGCAGAGTGAGCAAGGCAGAAAGCCGCGGATGGTAAGTGGAACTTAGGGCTTTATACTGATCATAATAGCGTTTTGACACTACTGAAGCTTTGAAAAGAGGATTGATAGGAACTGTTTAACATGCCTACTCCATGTTATGGTTTGTGTCTAGATGTCTGCTCAAAGCCTCATGTGATCATAGGTGAGGTTTTTCTGAGGGGGATGAATCTTGAGTACCTGATACTGGGACTTAGGGTGTGTGGTAAGGAAATCAGTCCACTGATTGGCTTGGCAACCATTAATCCCAGTAGCCTGGGTACAATGTAAGGGACAGAAAGAGGCATGTCCTCTCCCTTTGCTTGCCTGCTTTTGCTGTTTTCCGCCCACCACGAACTGTTCTTCCTCTGTGATGCCCCTCTGTGAAGCCACCCTGCCTTGGAGGAGCCAATTATGGACTGAAACCTCTACGAACTGTGAGCTAAATAAACCTTTCTCCCTTTAACTTTGGGTGTCATGTATTTTTGTCTCAGCAACAAGAAAAGTAACTAAGACACTCTATTTCTGACTCTTGACCGAGGGACAGAGTCTGGAGAGCTGCATTTCACCTGTCAGATGCATGGTTACCCCATCCCTGGTCTGTGGCAGGTGTCTGAGTTCCTGAACCCAAGTCCCCATGCCAATCAAGGACTCCTAGTTGCCTAGTAACCGACCAAAAGGCAAGTTGTGAGCATGCTCCCAGGAGCTGCCAAAACCTTTTGGCACATGACCCATGAAGAACACAATAAGCAGGTATTCAGCAGCTGCTCAGGTGACAGAGAAACTGGCACGTTAGGAGACTAGACTGAGCCAGACCAAGGCTGGAACAAGGAACAGGAAACCTCATCCAGGCTGGGCATCCTGGGAGAATTCTGCTCTAGGTTTCTAGGTGTAATCAGTTACTCTTACTCAGAAGAGTTGGAAGTCATCTAAAGTTTATCGTGCCTCTGTGAGCACGTGTCAGAATTTCCTGGAAGCTGCTAACAGTATGACCTGTGGATACCACACGCAAAGGGCTCTTCCTTTGTCTACCCAGGAGTCCAACCTGTTACTCTCCCAGCCTAATCTGCAAAGGAAATTTCAATTATCTTGTAGATGTAGTGAGAATTAAATAAGACAATAAAAGAGCCTTGTGTATAAGAAGTATACAACATACATTAACTTCTCTCATTTATACTATGATGACCACAAAATGACAGGTGATGGAATGGTAAGCATATCCTAAAACACTTTTACATCACATAACGTAGTTTAATCATATCCACCCCCTTATTACCCTCCCTCACATGCCCTCCCCTTTAGTCCCTTCTTCTTGTCTAGTAATAGTATCCCTTCTATTTTCATGCCCTCTTGAAGACAACACTTCTAATGTTCTCCTAGCATACCATAGTAAAAATTTTATTTGGTTTGTTTGTTTTGTGGGAACTATTGTATGATCAACAGAATTTAAACTCGGCATGTAAAAATATTCTCTTTGCTTCTAAACTTCCCTACCACAGTTAAAACAATCATCTTATACAACTAAGAACCAGAGTTAGAAATACTATTAGCATAGAGTTGATAACACCAACTCTAAAGATTAACAACCAAAACAGGAATCTCTCAGCCTGACATTTATTCTGCAAGTCATTCAGGACTGGGCCTGCTTTTTTTAATGTTCACTTTTCTTTATGAAACTTTAACTAAAATCCTGAAAGTTAGCAAAAGACACAGGAAACCATTCATAAGACCAAGAGGCTATTTTACTTTTATTAATGAAAAGTTACATAATAGTTTTAGGAAACGATATAGTTCTCTTATTTTGAGTCTTGTAGTATTTATAAAAATTTAAAACAGTTATCATGCTAGAGTTCATTTTGGAAACAGAATTTCTATTATCTGACAGCAATCAATTCTGTCTTATTTTAGCTCAATTACTCAAAGGCTTTGTAAGAGTTATGTCCATCTTTATTCATACTCATTAACAATAGGTCAACTGTGTCTAGTACTTGACCTAGAAGCCCAAGTAGGTGTGACTGAACAAAACTACACTAACAAGGTCCGAATTCCACACCACCGAGTCACGTTACTGGCCTTTCTGTCTCTAAACAGTACGCTACAGAAAGAGGAGGAAAAAAAAAAACCACCAGACACTGGGATCCATTTAAGGGGCCTGCATGCATTAACAGGGAGTGCTGAACAATAAAGAACACACAAGTACATTAAAGGAATTTAATAGAAAGCCTGTAACAACCACAAGGAGATGTTCACAGACATCAAGACAACATCCTATGAATTAGAAAAATGAAACCTATTAACAATGTATTTCCCTGCATGTCTATTTCATGGAGTCTGAATTTTTAAGGGAATTAACAATTTATATTTTATTGAAATCATTACACAGAAAAGCTACTTCTAAATTATAATTCTCAAATTAACCAACTCTGACATTTTAATGTACTTTAAAATAATTTTACATTTAGAAAATTATACAGAGTTTCTGCATATACTTCACCCCATTTTCCCTATAATTAACATTATATAATCATAACACATTTGTCAAAGTGAAGAAGTTAAAATTGATATATTATTATGAACTAGATTATACACTTTACCTGTTTTTCTGTTAATAATTTTTTTTCAGTTTTTAGGTACAACCAGGGTACTACATTGTATTAAACAATTTTTTTAAATGCTGTAAGTTCTGATATATACCACAGATGTATGTCTAATTAACAACACCCTTATTATAGTTATTTGAACAAAGAAACCTAAAATTCCTAGAAAATACAGTGTTGGGTATCAGAAAAAAAGTTATATAAAAATTTGCGTAAACATGATGCTTCTACTAATGTTTTATTTAAAACAAAAGGAAGTAAATAACTGAAGATATGCCCCACTGCTGATTTTGCCAAGAATGCAAGATCAAATTACTTAATTTACCAGAAATATCATTTTAAAAATGCCTGTTACTTACCTATTTCCCAAAGTTCTCGTAGTCATAAGATATATAGCAACTCTCTTTAATTAATTCTGTAAAAGAATAGAAAGTATTAGAAGCAGTCAGATAATCCACTTTTATCATATATATATAAATGATTTCATTTTAAATTACTTTATGATATTTGCATTCATATCACAAAAGAACTAATTTAAGGGAACATGACTGCATAGTTATTACTGTTATCTTTAAAAGTGAAAGCATGCAAAATTTAAGTTTTAAGATTATTAAGAGAATGTTCTCAAAATAAAGAAATGCTACAATGAATAAAACTGGCTAAGAAGTACGCTTTACATTCTTCTCTGTGTGCATAATGCTGTGGAAATTACTAAACAGTCACAAACAAGTGAGTCATTTTGAGGGCATAACCTTTCTGATGGGAAAACAGTGATCAACAATTTGATAGCAGAAGATGTTTCAAAGGACATGTCTGCTGAAGTGACCGTGTGTGTCAGTTCTGCAGAGGTAGGCTCAATTCATGCTACTGCCCCAGTGTCCTACCCAATTCCCCCTTTGTCCTAGACGTTTCATTTCCCAATGGGTTTTTACGGCAGCATTTAGAAAAACCTGGTGCTTACATGTAATTCAATCTCTGACTCTGCCTTGATCTCACAGAGCCATGTGTGGGCTGTGCAGTGAAGTCAGATGTCTATCTATTGAGTGGTGAAACCTGAAGGACACTTCAGTGTTGCCTACCTCTATACGCACTATACCGCACACCTCACACTCAGACAGTACCCAGCCCACCTACAGAAAAAGGGAGCAGAAGAAATACCCACCACTACGATGAGCTCAAAGACACAAATTTAATGAAAGCAGATACAGAAGGTGTTTTGTTCACTATGGTACTGAGGACTGACCCCCAGGCCTTCATGCTGAGCCACATGCCCAGCCCTTCTCGCTAAGTCACTAAGTTGCTCAGGCGGGGCTCCAACTTGCAATCCTCTTGGTTCAGCCTCCCAGATGACAGACAACGTTTTACTTATTATCCTCTAAAGCAGAATTTTTATCTAGATTAAGTGACTTAAAGAAAACACAGTTCTGATTCAAAACTGTCTTTATTTAGATATTCAAAGTAAAGTGATAACTTATTTTGATTGCTCCATCGGCAGAAGAAATTCAGTCCAATAACACTAGTTCTCTATCACTATCAGGAGATGTGTCAAATAGAAAAATCAGTTAATTCCAATAACGGTTTAATGGTTTCATCTAATGCATGAAACCAAATAAAGCTTTTGGAAGTTCATTCTGTAGAACATGAAACACCTGATGTTTCCGTAATTGCTACTTAAATTCAGTGTAAGCATTCAACAGCACAGATAAAAGTAAAGTCAGTTCTCATTATTCAAAATAGTTAAGTTTTAGAAAGTCACCACAAACACTAAATTAGTGAATAGCCAACAACTGCTCCTATAAGGTGAGTTCCTAGGGGTCTCTCATCACATTTTCATCAACTGATAAAAAGTATCCTGTTCTATCTATACTCCTGTTTAAAATATGTTTGGGGTTTTTTTATCCCCTATATTTTTCCTACTTTTTTCTATTTTTCCTTATTTTTATTTTTTACTATTTTTTTAAGTTTCTTTTTGTTTTTTTTTTAAGTCCAATTGATAGAGGATCTCCAAATGTTATAAGAGATACATTATAACTCCCAACCTGCTAGATGTCTGATGAACTAAGTTCACATTCCCCAAAATCAAAGAATGAATTCTAAGGAACAACGAATATTAAGAGTAGGAAATTTTATTGAGGGAAAGGCAGCTCCTGCCTGAGAGAGACAGGAGGGGACCCAGAAAGTGGGCTGCACTAGAACATGTTATTTAATATATATTGTTGATTCACAAACAGTGAGCTCACAGTGAACAGTTCTATAACTCAAGTCTAAATGAAGCTTACCTACCACATATATTTTCTCTGAAAGGCTCAGCACAACCTGCTTACGCTCAGGAACACCATACAGCAATTCCATTGTATACATGAAAGTTGTTTTAAACAGCAAAGTCCCCAACAAGAAGCATAACAGTGCAAAACTCACAGCATTAAACAGACCACAAGAAGGACACTTCTTTTTTTTTTTTTTTTTTTTTGAGACAGGGTCTCACTATGCAGCTCAGACTGGCCTTGAGCTCACTTTGTAGCCAAGGCTGGTCTCAAACTCGCCAATCCTCCTGCCTCAGGCTCCCGAGTGCTGGGATTACAGGTGTGTGCCACCACACGCGGCTGACACTTCTTTATAGTATGAGAACTGAAAGGAGGCAGAACAGGGGTTCTTCTGGGAACACATGTGTTGAACAGTGCACATTTTTTCACTACTGTGTGTCATTTGTAGTCACTCATTTAACTGAGCAAAAGCTCCCTGCATAATAATTTTGAGGTTCACATTTAAATGAATTATGATATAGCTGGATTGACACCTATCATTTTGTCTTTTACTTTCTATAGACCTCATGTCTTTGGGGGGTTCTTTCCTCCCTTTACTGTTTTCTTTACTGTTATATATGCATCCAGCATTAGAGAAAAACAGTTGAAAAAAATTCAAAAATAATCAGAGACATCAATGTCCCCTTTTAATATTAGAAAAGCAAGGATGAAAATCTAAGAGACAGAAGACTTAAACCTTATAAACCAGCTGGACCTACATTTATATAACACTCTACCCAACAATAACACAATAAACATTCTTCCTAAGTGCACACAAAACATTCTCTAAAACAGATCATATGCTAAGCCACAAACAACCCTCAATAATTTAAAGGGATTAAAATCATTCAAGGAATGTTTTCTAAAAACAATGGAATGGAACTGGAAATCAGTAACAGAAGGAAAATTCACCAAAAGGGGAGAAACAAAACACATTCTTAACTAGCTGCATTGCTCCGCTTTTTGTCACCAAAATACATGACATAAACAGCTTAAAGGAAGAAAGATTTATTTTGGTTTCATTTCAGAGGTTTCAGTCCATGGTCAGCTAGCTCCACTGATCGTACACTTGTGACAAGGCAGAAACATCATAGCAGAAGGACAGAGCAGAGGAAAGTTGCTCACCTCATTGCAACCAGAAAGCTGACAGAGGTTAGGAACCTGAAAAGTGACAGCATTCAAAGTCATGCCCCCAGGGGCATACTTCCTCCAAAGGGGCCTACCTCCTGAGAGCCCCGTTAGCTATGAACTCATCAACGCATTAATCTATGGATGAGCTTATACCCTCACAATCAAATCATCTCTCTAGGCATTTCGCAACCCAATCAATCTGAAGAGATTAACCATCACAATAACCAATGGATTAAAGAAGTCATAACAGAAATGAAAAAAAATGCCTTGAGAAAAATGAAAACTTTTAAAACACAACATATTACACTTACAGAATGGAGCTAAAAATGGTACTGCTTAGAGGGAAATTTACAGCTATAATAAATGCCTATATTAAAAAAGAAAGGTTCTCAAATTAATAATTTAATCTACCGAGAAAGGGCAGAACCTAGAAAAGGAAGAGTAAACTAGTCCTAAGCCAGCAGAAGGAAGGAAATAATAAAGAGTAAAGAACAAAGAAAAGAAATACAGAATAGAAAGATGAGAAAAATGAACAACAAAAAAGGCAAAGAATTAGGCAACCAGGTGGCCACTGGTGATATGAGAAAGGGAGGTTTACTACTGGGAAGAACAAAACTGAGTTTAAAATAAACCCGCAAGAAGAGGTTGGAAACAAAGGCAGGAAGAAATGCTTATCAGAATAAGGTCCTTCAAGAAGTCACAGGGATTAAGAGCCCAGGCAAAAAACTAGCCTTGAAAGGTTATGAAGATAACACTACCCTAATTTTGCTCACTCTGTGAGGAGGTGAGGGCCATGAATCTTGACTAATCTAAGCCAAACTTAGGACTTCTAAACTTCTAGGCCCTTAGAAATAAGTATGAGATGCAACTGTGGCTAGTGACATCAGGTCTTCCAGAATTCTTCTAAAAATGTTATCCTCACTTTTTGGGTTTTTTTGAGACAGGGTTTTACTACGCAGTTCAGGATGGCCTTGAGCTCACCTGATAGCCCAGGCTGGGCTTGAACTCAGAGATCCTCAGCCTCCTGAGTGCTGGGAGTACGGGCCTGTGCCACCACACCCGGGATCTTCACTCTCAACACATAAGTCACCCTCTCCTCTTAAAATCTCAAATTCTTTGATATTAAGATGAAATTCTTAGAGCTAAAGCTACCATCTTGAGAAAAGGAAGGGAAAAGTCTGAAGACAAAAGAAAACAGGGCTGCAGAGTGGAAAGACAGAAAGAACCAGGGTCTGATGACAGCAGTTAGCTGCAACATGAATCATCTATAAAATCAGATCTTCTTGGTCATATGAGACAATGAAATGTACAGTACTTACTACTGAAGTCATTTTTACTTGGGGGCTTTCGTTATTTGCCAGCTGAAAGCATTCTAACAGACACGGAAAGAAGGATAATTTCTCTGAGACAGCTTTGGATAAAACTAACTTTGCATGCTGTACACATGGAAATTTGGGTTTCAGCCTGAAGTTTCATTTATTAAACAAAATGAAGCCTGTCTAAAATTTATTTCACAAAGGAACTGGTCCTAAGAGCTCATTCCTGCCTTTAAAAATTGAGTATTTCTAAGGCTAACAATAGCTAATGGTAATGGTAATGGTGATGATGAGCTCATAATCATTAAAGTATTTTTAAAAGCTAGGCATTTTATCCTTTTATTGCTTAATTTCTGTATTCCACTTAACTTCAATAGTGAAATCATACCATCTTTTATTTTCTATTTTTAACAACTTCCATGTCAGTTTCATTTCTCATACTTTCATTGTATATAATACATACCACAATATAGTTCAGAGAGGGAATCCTTTACTTTTAAAAATAAACACTTTGAAAATCAAATGATCTACAAAAAATATTCCTGTATTTCCATAGATTTTCTAAATCTGGTCAAAGAAACAAAAATTTCAGCCACATATTTGGAATGATACCTTGACTTTTATCAGAGAATGGAAAAATCAACACT